GAGTGGGGCTGTTGAGGACAGGGCGTTGTGGACATCGCTCATTCATACGGTCGCCAGGAGTTGGAGCCAACTTGAAGCGTGTCACAACAGCAACCGATGCAAACATGTATGTATTATGGTGGTGGGAACATTTAACAGACATCTACCTTCCTAATGAGTATGTAAGTGCACAACGCAGTATTGCTAACTGTAGACACAATGTTGTAGGCAGATGTCTGGAACTTACTTATCTTGTGTAACTGAAACTTTGTGCCCGCTGAACAGATTCCCCATCCTCCCCTCCCCTGGCAACCACAATTCTGCTCACTGTTTCCGAGTTTGACTATTTTAGATACCTTATAAATACAACCATGCAGTGTTGCTTCTCTGAGTGGCTTAAATCAGGATCTCAAGGAGAAACCTGCACCTCCGTGCTCATTATTCACAGCAGCCAAGATGTGGAAACAACCCACATGTCCGTCGACAAGTGAATGGACAAAGAGCATGTGGCACATACACATAATGGAATATTATTCTGCCTTAAAAAATAAGGACGTCCCACCATATGCAACAGCATGGATGAACGTGGAGGACACTGCTGATGTACATTTCAGGGAATTTTGGCCACAGTAAGTGACTTCATGCGGGTGGACAATTTGATTGAGTCATATAATATTGAAGATAATTTTGTCTTTGTACCGATTTTTTTGCTTTCGTAAATTACCCAAATTTTATCTGATTTTTCTTTCTGTTTTGTCATTATTTTTCGGGCTTAAATTGTGAAGATGGAAAATCCATCCTTCCAGATGATTTGAGCTCTTTGAGATGTCGCCTTCCTTTAGTCACACAGAAGAGTTTGTCACCAATGGTGTCTCCACTACACCAGCTCCAATATCCACGTCCTAAGTAAGGCATCGTGGGAAGGCAGGGCGGGATGCGAGGGAGCCCGGGGCAGCCATGTGACATCTGCTCCCCTCATCTTGGCAGACGCCGTGACCCCACGGTGGTTGCAGGAGTCCTGGGCTGGGCAGAGCCGAGACCGAGCTTGGCAGGAGCAGCATGGGCGGCCCTCTGTCCCCCTCGCCTCACCAACCGCACTTTCGGCTCTCGTGCTTTGGAGATGTTACAAGAGTCAGCGTGTGTGTTTGGTGATGAACTTCTAGGAAAACGTGAGGAAACTGGTCTTGCTGACAGCGTCTATGAGTGTCTGCCCGTGTTTATGTGCATAAAATGGCCAGATCCACGCTCCGGGCTGTCGTCCAGCTGTGACAGGACACTCGGATGCACATGGATCATCTCCTTTGTGATCTGTTTTCTCTTTTTAAAGATTGGCACCTGAGCGAACCTCTGTTGTCAACCTTTGCTTCTCCTCCTCCCCCTCCCCTCATCCTCCCCCTCCCCCTCCCCCTCCCCTCCCCTCCTCCCCCTCCCCTCCCCTCTCCCCCTCCTCCTCCTCCTCCTCCTCCTCCTCCTCTTCCTCCTCCTCCTTCTCTGTCTTCCACTCCTCCTCCTCCTTCTCCCCAAAGCCCCCAGTATAGATGTATATTCTTGTTGTAGGTCCGTCTGGGTCCACACCCAGGATCGGAACCGGCGAAACCCTGGGCCGCCAAAGCAGAGTGCAAGAACTCAACCACTCAGCCACGGGGCCAGTCCCTCCTGCTGTGATCTTGATCAGGGAAGCTAGGAAATCAGAGTCTGTCTTCATCAGGCTCTCCTCCTATGTGACATTGTTTCATTTGTTTAAAAACCTGATTCAAGACAAACATGTTTGCTGTTATCCACCAGAATTTTCTCTGAGCAGGGCTGTGCTGTTGAGAAGTGGTTCGTCAGCGCAGGAAGAAGCGGGCTCCCCAGCACTGGGCTGTGGACAAAATGCCCTTTGCTGCCCGAGGAGTGAGGGGGGTTAGGTCGAAGCTCCAGTGTGAGGAGAGTGAGCCCCTCATTCAGCAGAGCCCACATGACGGGCTCACACTCTCATCTGGTTGCCTCTGCAGCACCCCAAGCCACTCACACCCCCAGCCCACACCCCTGGAGTCCTTCGTTCCTCCCAGCAGGGCCTTGCCTCTTATCCAGAGAGCCCCGTAGGGCCCCCGGGAACCAGGGTGCTGTTTCAGTGGCTTCCCCAAGACTTCCACGCCCTTGGTGCTCCTCCCCACACACGTCCCTACAGAAACACACCACATGTGCACACACACTCACACATACTCATACACACACGAATGCACGCATGTGCACAAATACATGCATGCACACACATGCATGCATGCACAACTCACATATACGCATGCACATGTGTGTATATACACACAAGGCACGCATGAATGCACATGCATGCACACTTGTGCATACACACATTTACACATGTACGCACATGCACACACTCACACACATGAGTGCACAAGCATGCACGCACCTGTGCATACACACACTCACACACGTGCGCACACACACGCTCACACAGACTGCAGAGGCCAGGAGGTAGGGGCATCTGTCAGCAGTGCCCACTCTGTCCTTGCCTCCTGGCCTCCATCCTCTCTTCACTAGGGCTGAGGTCTACTTTGGGCCTGGAGTCCGTCTGTCTGTGCTCCTGCTCTGTGGGGGCCACATCTGGCGGTCGCCAAGTCCTCTCCCGTCATGGTAAATATTCATGATGATCTCTGGTTTTTGAGATGCTTGTCTTGCTGTGGACACCAAAATATTATTAATATTTGGGGAGTAAAAAGCTGAAAATGGACTTTTTCTTTGCATTATTGCCTTAAAGATCTTTGCAGCAATAACAGACGCCTTGGACTAAATGGGGAAAGGCTGTATCAAAGAAAATGTGAAAAAGAAAAAGTCAATAGCATTTTTCAAAACAGAGTTCCACAGCTCCCACGGGTGGTGCGGAACACAGGCGTGGTGGCCCGGGGCAGGGCGGTGGCAGCTGGAAAGAGGCACGGGACACCTTTTGGGTGATGAGCAGCTTCCCTGTCTTGATTGTGGTGGTTAAGGTGTACACATTTGTCAAACTCATCCGACTGTAGCCCCAAATGGGGGCATTTTGCTGCACCTGAATTTTGCCTCAATGTGTCTCTGTTGTGTCCCCTCTCTCCTTAACACGTGAGTCCTCAGCCAGTGGGACTTTCCTGAGGTTCCCACATACCTGCAGGATTATGTGAGGGGTGGGGGGAGGCGTGTCCACTTCTGGCGGGGTCCTCCCTCCACCCCTCCCTCAGGCAGGCATCCACGGAGCAGAAGGAGCCCCGGAGGGTCCAGAGCACCAGACAGTGCACAGTTGTCTGAGGCTACAGCCGGGCACCCCCATCCTCACCCCCCTGGGCCGCCTTCCACAAGCTGGTTGCACATCCAGCCTCTGACCCATTTTAAGTTGTGCTGGAGTCCTCCTTGGAAAGGAAAACACTGCTTCCCAGTGGAAGGTGTGTTAGAATAATTGCAAAAATGGCCAATAGTCTCCCTCCGATCTGTGTCCACACTCTTGGCCAGGTGACTCCACAGCTTCTCCCACTCAAAGGTGGATTCTGTCCCCACCCTTCAATGCAAGTGGCCCTGTGACCTGCTTTGGGCAGCAGAATGCAGCAAAGGGGCCCTGTGCTTCACTGCCCTGTGAGCGGGTCCCAGAGAGCCAGCTGGAGGATGAGAAGTAGCTTCGAGCAGAGACGAGTTGTTCCAGCCAAGCCCCAGGACCGGCCCCCGGCCAACCTGCAGCTCCCTGGAGTGAGTTCAGCCAAGAGCAGAAGAACCGCCCAGCCCAGCCGGAGTCAAACCACAGCCCCACGGAACCGTGCACTGAATGAAGGGTTGTCGTTGTAAACCACTGAGTTGGGGATGGCTGACACGCAGCAGGAGCTAACAGATGCAGAGGCTCAATAGCCGTGGACTGAGAGCATGCCCGCGGCCTGGTTTGGAGATGCCCCTCCCCTGAGACAGCACTGCCTCTGACTGAGGCGCCCAATGCTTGCTGCTTGTGTGGACCATCCCAGGGTGCGTTCCTATGAGAGGTCACTCCTCTCTCCTCTGTGTCCGAGCTCCTCCTCCACAGGCCTCTGGGCATCCGGCAGCTCTTTTCATAGCACTGATCTTCAGGGGAGAGTCACCTCCGAATCCGTCATCTGGGAAGTCCGAAACCACTGATATGTGACCACGAAACACGTGGCTTTCTTCACCGTCCCTAGGACGTCAGCAGTGTAGCCGGCTCGGGGCAGTTGAGGGACGCGTGAGGCTGCCTGAGCCTCGTGCTCCCGGCCACTCCCTGCTCACCCTCTCAGAGGGGCCTGGGTCCTCATGGTCGCACAGAGAGATGAGAGGACCAGGGGGCACCTGTGCAGGGACGGGCTGCGCTGGTGGACATGGACGATGCAGACCAGAGAGTAGCGCGAGGGAGAAGCCTGCACAATGCGCGCGTTGCCACGAGGAGACCAAGGTACTGGGGCTCCTGTCTGGTCACCAGGCAGCTCTTCCGTGGCTGCTGCCTCCACCCTCCCTGGCTTCCGTCGCTCGGCGAGGTTGCCACAGTAAAGCCAGTGTTCGCGATGGGATTCTGTTATGCGCTTCTCACCTCTTTAGGGTGTAGGATGTCATTGTTTCGTCCTTCGGTAGAATCAGCCACTTTACTGATATTTGCTTTCCTTCACTCTGCCTTGAAAAGCACAACAGCACATTCTTCGCTGTCGTTCCAATTGATTGTCACAGGTTCAATGCTCTTCATCGATTTCCTTCTGACCACTCTGTGTCTGAATTTGTCACCGCTTTTGGCCAACCAGCCTGTGAACCCCCGAATTATGTTTGGACAACTCCCCACCTTCTGAGGCTTGAGGGGCACAGATCCCCGCTCCCTCAGGAGAAGCAGAAAGGGCAGGCTCACTTTCCAGCTGTCCTTACAGAGCAGCCCCTGGTCTGGTCTCGGTCTCCCCCAGCTGGCACCCGGGCCCCGGGCTCTGTGCTGGGAGCTGATGTCACAGAGAAGCCGAGAGGCTGCAGCTGCAGCAGCCGTGGAAACAAGCAGGGCCGTGCAGAGACTTCAGGGCTCTGGTGCCCAGCTGCACCCATGGCCAGGATGAGTGGCAGCACTGTGCATGGGATGCACTGGTCCTGTGACTGAGGTCCTGGCCCTGCCTGCTCCACCTGCCCACAACTCCCTTCCTGCCTGATTCCCAAGCTCACTTCCAAGCCCTCAGCATAATTCTTTGAGCTACTTCCTGGCATTCCACTCACACCAGCCAGCCTCAGGTCCTTTGCACCTGACGGACCCACAGCACCTAGTCTCTGCTCAGCTACAGGTGTCTCCTTATCGTTCCCACCAATGCCTACGCCTTGTGGGAAATAACTGAATGCACCCCCCCCCCTTCCAGCACGTCCTTTTACATTTGTTGACCTTCTCAGGGGCCACTTCAGGCCTCTCTCTCCCCAAATCCCAACTGCCCTCTCCAAACCCCTCCGTAATACTTGGTAAGTGTTTACAATGTTTTTTCCTAAATTTTGTGTTTTCTCTTCAAAAAATAACTCCACTGAGTTTCATTTCTCCTCCTCCTCTCCCTTCTCCCTGAACAGCCCGCCCCACCTGTTGCCTTATCCCCACACTGTCTTCAGGGAGACAGTTGTGAGGCCAGGACCACTGACTCCAGCACCCACGTTGCCTCTGTGAGGGTTTCAGACCACAGGCTGGGATCAGCCGCCACGTTCTCTCTAACCTTCATCCCACGTCCTGTGCCATGCTCATCCGTCGGTCCTGGATCAACCCTATTCGCCCTTCAGGTTCCACCTGAAGTTACGCCACCCGGGGAAAGTGAGACTGGACTCCCCAGGTGAGCGTTCCGTGTTCTCAGAGCAAAACAGGGTGCGCTCCGTGGAGTTAGTTAACTAATTGGGTGATTATCTGCTGAGAGTGGATCTTCTCCTCCCGACAGGATTTCAGAGGTGTTGCTGCCGATGACTGGTGGCCAACCCTCTGTGTGGCAGAGCCTCCCAGGAGTGTGGTATTGGCAGGACCAGCTGGCCTCGGGGAAGCTGAGGAGAGGGGAGCCTCACTCCACGCCCACCAGGGCTGGGCTCAGACTCCACTCCAGGTGCGAGGGCGGGACGGGAGGGGGCCTGCCATCCAGGACATTGGACGAGAGAAGTGGCACAAGAGGGCAGCACCGCCAGAGCTGCTGTAGGCTTCCTGTCACCCAGCCTGGTCCCCATCTCCCAAGGGTGCTGTGACCCCAGTCATCCACCATCAAACTCAGTTTGCTCCCTTTTTCTACTTAAAAAACAAAGACAGCCAGTGCTGCTAGGTCGTTCCCTGCACCCAGCCGGTATGACACCAGATCAAGACTCACGTGTGAAATGCAGAGATGGAAAAAGATCCATCCGCGTTACCATCAACACTGCAGCCTGGAACCCATCCCGACACTATCTCAAGTGAGTAAATTAATCACCTGCATCAATTATATATAATTTAGAAATATTGTTTGGAAGAAATGCCTGTGCTGCTATCTATCTGTTAAATTTTATTTCTGCTCTTCCGAACTGAACTTTTTAGACTCACAATCTTACAGAACGTGTCGAGTTTCCAGTCCAGCAGATTTCATCTATCAATTCATGCACATCACTTTGTCAAAAGCCTTTTGAAGTTCTTTGCCCACGTTCTGCTTACTCCCTCCCCTTCAGTTCCAGGTCAGCAGAAAACACGCCGGCTGTGAAATTAGCCCACACATTAGCGCACCACGCATCGGAGGCACGTGGTCGGGAGCCATCACCTACCTTCTTGGCGCACACCTCCTTTTCCACAGCCTGTACTTGAGATGGAATTTTCCATAATTACCTCAGCACAATGGTGAATTTGTTTGCAAAGTTTCAGCAAAACCTACTCATCTGTTCTGCTGTTGTGCAAGACTGTGAAACGACAAGCCACAGGAAACGGAGAAAACGTTTGTGCAGGGGTAGCTCACAAAGTCCTTACTTTAAGTTAAAAGTTTATGGGGTCTGGAATTCAGAGAGGAAAATCCAGACGAAATAAGTCTGGAAACCACAGAGGACACACTTTTATTTGATCCTCTGAATCAACCCTTCACCAGAATATCTCAAGCTATTAAAATATACAATTTGCATGATGCTGTTCCTAAAGGACAGGTGGCCAGTTGTAATGCTCTGAAGGTTTCTACAGGTGGGGACCTGAGGGGGAGTGGTTCCCCTGTGTTCTCATTCAGTACGTGACTTAGGAGACCTGAAAATAATCGCCATATTTCATATTTACAAAGAAAACACGAGATGAAGACTCACATGTGGAGACAAACATGTTCAAGGGCGCCCACCTTCTGTTCATCATTCCTGGAGAGCTGGGAAGATGAGACTAGTGTTGTGGATGTGTGCCTTTCCTACAACAAAGCTGCCGGGGGTGGAAAAGCAGAGTCCAGCCCGCCACTTCCAGTTCTTACTCACCACCCTCTCTTCCATCCTCTTCCATTGGAGGAGAGCCCGCCATGTTTTCCTTAGTCATTTCCTAAGCGTCATTCTCACCTTCATGCTTAGACTCAGGTGTTTATTCTGTTTCACTCACGGTGGTGACTGTACTTTGCATTTCCCTGAACTTCTCACCAGAATGCACCTCCAGGTCTGTCTCCCTGAATTTCACCACAGAAACCGCAAAAGAAATGCAGCAAACTTTCAAATCTGCATCCAAATTTTTTTCTGGATTTAACTCCTTGATTCTTGAACCACCCTTTGTTTTTCTGTGCTAACGTGCTCATTCATGCCTCTGTACTGCACACAGTTCTCTTCAAGCCCGTTGGCTTCATACACGCTCCCTCACAATTTAGCCTGAGATGTTTGTACAACTGATTGACTCCTGCGTGGGACCAAAGAGCCATTCAAGATCCAGACAACTGCCCTCTTTGTTCCCCAAAAAGAGTGCACTTTTCCCTGAAGGTGTCTTCATGACCTTTGGCCGTGAGTATCATGGACATCGTCTTTGACCCTCACTGACCGTCATCACCCACAGTCATTGCCCTTGGCAATTCTCTCTAACCTTCAGCCTCACAACCATTGTCCTCACAGCCATTGCCCAGGACCATAGCCGGTCAGCATCACCTGTGACTGTCACTATGACCTTCTCTCATAACCATCACCAACAACCGTTGCCTATGACCATCGCCCATGGCTATCATCCATGGTGACCACCTATGATCATTGCCCATGATCATTACTCATGACTGACAGCCATGACTTTCACCCATGACTGTCACTATGACCTTCTCCCCTGACCATCACCAACTATTGTCTATGACTGTTGTCCATGACCTCCCATGACCATTCCCATGACCGTTGCCCATGATCATCACCTGTGACCATGACCCACAACCATTGACCAGGACGGGAGAAATACCCATTGTGGAGCTGCACTTCCTCCATTTGAAGTTTAGAAAGCACGATCTATGACAACAGGATAGATCTAGGACCTGGGATAACATTCCTGTAAAGAAAATTGATGCAAACACTTAAACTGGCAGAGATGAGAAGATCCCAAACACGGTACAGGAAGTGACCTAGACCGCCTGCATAACCACCTCCTCTCTTTTGCCCTGGCAGCTGTTGGACACTCACTTAAAGGCAGATGCAGAGTCTGTGCCAGACACTGACGAGGTGGCTCTGCCCAGATGTGCATCCACCCCACTGGGAGCATCGGGTCAGTGGTGACAGGAGCCTGGGCACGATGACCCTCCTGGGGTGCAGCACCGTGGAAGATTTGCTTCAGTTCACCATAAAACTCAGAATCCGCTTGACTTTTCCCCTAAAGAGATTCTTTAATTCACAATATATGAGTTTTCAAGGAAATGCTATTTATTAATCCGTGAGTTATACCTGGCCGAGAACCAGGAAGAGCTATGGATCATATATCCAAATAACTACCTTGTTCATTAAAATAACTGATAGTGATCACGATGAAGACTTTTATGTATTTTGTCCTTTTTGAAAAATAGGGACTCAGTTTTTATCCACTCAACACTGCCGCAATTATTAGCAATTTTAAAATATTAACCTCGCTTTTTTAGATTCTGACACTCCTCCCACTTAAGCTTCTGTCCTTCTGAAGGCCTGGCCCCTACTTTCTTAAATCTCATCTTGCCTGGTGTGTCTAATTTCTAACCCTAAAATTATAGTACTTTCCTCCTTTTCTGCCCACCCATGAAGCAGTGTGCCCGTGTCGGGTTCTTTCACCTTCACTACTCTATTGATTACTGTTTGTTTCCCTTTGGAGTTTGATTACTTCCTAAAGAAGACATTTAGCTTCGTGCCCAGAAACACAGACAGGGAATTGATGAGTCTCTGTTTTAAATGCAAGCCCACTTGTTCTTTCTTTCCACTTTTCTCAAAAGTAGACACTGATAAGACACAAATGGTGAACTAGATTCTGAAATCCACAATATTTAGCATATTAATAAATGCCTTAGAGAGTGGGTATAAATGTATGTGTGTATGTGTATCTGTGTGTTACAGATACACACAGATGTATGCAATGTGTATAAGTGTATGTGTGTGATCGATAAACATTGTTCTGTGTCTAGATGTGTCCTTGATGTAAAAATTGTGTCTGCCTAAGTAGGACAAAATAAGTCAAAATTGCCTGGATACTGGAGGTTTCATATAAGAAACAATCCTTTTGTGAAATTTTCTCTACCATGATGCAATATATAGACACACAAATATGAAAGTTACAAGCTTTAATATTTAACCAGTGGCCAGCCTGTGAGGTGCGTTTCTCATTTCCACGGGGGGCCCGGTACAAGCTGCGACTCGTTTTAATAGACATCTCGCATTAGAAAGGGGAGGACTGTTAAGCCATGATTCAGCCGGCAGCCGCGGGGCACAATATGTTCTGTGGGTCAAAAGCGCAGGTCCTGAAGGAGCTGGCGAGCTAGAGCGCTGTCTTTGTTATTAATCCGGAAATTGCATTTTTAGAACTGATATTGTCGACTACATAAGTCCCTATTTTTTCCCGGTGGAATTTCTTTCCCCTGAAAATCAAACAAACTTTCCTTTGTTCCCTCCAAGGTGGACGGCCAGCCCCGGATGTGCTCCGACTGTGGTCAGCGTGTCCTTCTGCCGCCGGCCCTGTGACGGAGACACAGGGCTCTGTGGCGTGTCGTCCCCCGCATGCGATGACCTGCACAGATGGCCTCTCCGGGAAGGCCGGGCAGCGTGGTTGGCTGAGCCTCCAGAAGACAGATTGTCAGGCCGAAGCTTGACAGAGAGAGTGTGGGGTGCTCGCGGATGCTGTTCCAGAAGGCCAGCTGCTGCCGGGTCCTTCCCTCGCCTCAAGGTGAAGGACAGTCCTGAAAAGGACAAGATTGGAACAACTCGCCAACAGAACATGCCACCCATATGCATTACTTGGGTCTCATTTACTTTCTAAAGGATAAATGTGCGCCTAGCGATGGGTGTCCTTTGAGTGTTGTCTGATTTCCAAGCCCAGTGGGGTTTCCCAAGGACCCTGCGCATTCATCGAAAGGAAGCAGGAGGCCTCAAGGGACCTCCACTTCTGAGTGTCTCACCACGCTGGCCCCCCTCAGCTGATTGTGTACTGGGGTTATCGTGGGGTAGACCCTAAGGAAGGATCTCGTCCTAGAGGGAGCACAGATGCACTCTCCTGGGCTCCAGGGACAAGGCTCCTGGTCCCAGCCCAGCCACTCATCAGCTGAGTCTTGAACTGATCTTGAACTGGCCGGCCAGTTTCCCACCTGTCCCTGAGGGTGACCACTCAGCCCGCTCACTTCCCAGGGCTGTGATGAGGCTCATTTGTGTACGCACGCACACGTGTGTGCTCATGTAGCATAGTCTACAATTGTAAACTATCATCAGTTCCCCAACACACCCTTTCTTCCCGTCCACCTCTCCAGATGCTGCTCCCACGACGTGTTGGGGCTGGTGCAGTGGGGGCTCATGCAGGGAAGCTGGCAACGGTTTCAGGTCGCAGCTTCAGAAAATGTGAACACCAAGGGAATGGAACTGGAGGGCAGAGACCCACGTCCTGCCCACGTGGGAGCTGCGATGCCTCTCCCCACATGTGGGACCGAACTTGACACCTCACCCCGAGCTGTGTGCCGGCATCCAGAACCTGTCGGGCGCGTGGATGAACAGCCTTGGCACCACCACCAACAGCTGCTCCTGCGGGAAGATGTGTCGGAAACGAGTGAGGAAAGGGCTCAGACATCCTTGCAGCTGCTCACAAGCCATTTCAGGAAGACTGGGCATTTAGCGGCCCTCGGCCTGACACAGGGATTTGTAATTGCATGAATGCATTTCAATTAATACTGCCTTAAACACTTCCCATTTATTTACAGTGGAGTCGTTAACCCATTTGGTGTGCCTGAGCAGGTTCCAGTATCAAAGATAATATGGACAATTAATAGAATGTGATATGTTCTGAGCGTTCCTCCGGGCTCCTACTTACAGTGCCTCCACAGCAATAAAATAGCTTCCCGTCGTTATCGAAATGTTGAGAACTCAAGCTCAAAACACACACAACATTTCTCTAATGTCAGGAAATTATTTGCTCGTGCAAGACCTTGAGGCTCTGCAGAAAGGATGCCGTTCAAACCTCCTCCAGCTGCAGACTCAAAAAAGTTTATTCAGGTTCCAGGCAACATAGTGGAAAACGGGCTTTAAAAAAGAGTCAGGAGATTACTAATTAACACTGTGATTTGTTAGAACATCAGTCCTGCCCAACTCTCCCACCCACTGGTTCTCGGCTGCATATTTCAAGGACACGTCAAGTTGTTTGCTTGGGCAACAGCCCCTGACTCCCCAGAAGTGTCCGCTGGATTTCTAGGAAGCTGGAGGCTGGCATTCTTAGGAGTGACTTCACAGCCGTAGAAATCACCTCCCACTGGCTTCACAGAGCCGGAGCCTTCCATGCCCTGGGGTGAGAAGGCAACTCAAGGACCCGCCAGTCCCAGACCTCATACTCCCGGCTGATTCAGTTCACGGGCTTTCTTGTGAGGAGGCGATGGGCCCAGGCGGGATGACGGTGCTGCACAGCCAGGAGAACCGGGACAGGCCGGCAGGCTGGGGAGAGCAGCGTCTAAGCCCTCTAAACGCACCGGCTCTTCAAGTCAACGTAGAAAAACGACCACGGAAGGCACACGCCACTACAGCTGCTCCACAAGGTAGACCTGAAGGAAAATGGAAGAACATGGTCAAAGATAAGGGTTTTCTGGACTGTCTTCTACTAAAAGTATCTCCTAGATTTAGTTTAAAAATGAAATGTACTTACATGGATTTTACAGGAAACTAAATGACAAAATAAAAACGTAAATAAGGGGATGGAAAAACATACATGAGGCAAAAGCAAACAGGCAAAGTAGAGAGGCCATAATTAACATCAGATAAAGTGAAAATTAAGATAAAAACATAAATGGGAAAGATAGATATTTTATGGTAATAAAAGGAACAATCCTTGAAGAATGTATGTCATGAATTTTCATTCCCTGAAGAAAGGAGCTTTCAAAATATATACTGCAAAAACTGTTATAAATACAAGGAGAAATGGGCAGATCCATGATAATTAGGGGAACCATTAACACAACTTTACAAATTGACCAATAATAAAGTATACAAAAAAGGAGGATTTGAATACACAACTGACAAGCTTGACCTAATAGATACATAAAAAGTAAATTTCCTAACGGAGCATAGAAATTATTTCCAAACAGCCATGGGACATTTACAAAATGGAGCATCTGCTGGGCCACCAGGTAACCTCAGTGTATTTCCATAGCCTATGACCATGGTACTAGCTTGATCAAATGTAACAGACCCACATTCAATTTCATTAACGTACAAACATACACGTTTACATCAGAACAGAGCAAACATCTGATGGAGTGAGCAAATCCTAGATGCGTTGCCTTTGAAGTCAGATACATGCCCTCATTATTCTCGAGACTGTGCTCTGAGCCGGTGCAGTAAGGGAAAACTAAAATAAGAGGCATGGAGTGTGAACTGTTGATCAGAAGTCATGTCTATTATATAAAAGGCATCAATGTGAGTCAGTTTAAGCAAAAAGCTACCTTAATAACTTAGGAGGCAACCATGCAGGTGAGTCAGAACCTGCGAAGGAGAGACTCAAGAAGGAAAAAAATAAGAAGCAGGTTGCGGAATGGTTTGCATTTCTTAGTCCCAGCAGTGAGGATTCCAAGACTACAATGGGACTCTGGGAGAGTTGAAATTCTCAGTCGAATCTGCCCTGCATATGCTTCACTTCCTTTTGGTCAAACGAGAGACCTCCCTTTTATGGTAAAAGATTATAGGAGTCAAAATCACACTAAGTAAAAGGAAGAATTACTAGGCGTGGGGCCCCATGTGGCGTGGGTAACTATCTCAGGGCGTTTGGCAAGAATTGGGAAGGAGTTTGTGCAACAGACAAATAAGGATGTTATTAAAGGAAGATATAATTTATTCATACGGACTTGAGCCTGGAGGGCTGGGGAGCTCCTGGTGTGCTCACCCTCTGCTCAGAAGATGGGCTCATCAAAAAACCAGGAATAAACAGAGAGTCGATAAAAGGAAAAAGCATCATAAAGGCAGAGTCAGAACTCTTATTAAATGAAGCAATTTGATTGTTCACTAGGAAATCGAAGACACTCGACTGAAAATGGTGAGAGAGGTGATCAGAGAGAGGGCAGGTAGGGGTCCCTGAGGCGGACACCTTGCACGCTCTGGGCCCTCTATGGCCAGGGCCAGCAGCTCTGTGTCCACTGGCAGAACCCCACCTCCAGCTCCAGGGGTGACCGATCTCCTCCGCTTTTCTTCCTCAGGGCTCTCTGAAGCCCAGACAAGCCACTTGGTTCCAAACCTCTTGCCTGTTTTTTACTGGGTTGTTTGTTTTCCTGTTATTGACTTTCAAGAGTCCTTTCTATATTCTGAGTACAAGTCTTCGATCATACACGTGATTTGCAAGTGTTTTCTTCTGGTCTGTGGCCTGTCTTTCCAGTCTCTTCACAGTGTCTTTCAAAGAACAGAAGTCATAGATTTTGATGAATTAGAAGGTATCAACTTTTTCATTTTATAGATCATGTCTTTGGTGTTATAGCTAAGAAATATTTGCCTAACACAAAGCCCCAAAGATTTTCTCCTGTTTTCTTCTAGAAGCTTGGTGATTTTTAGCTTGACATTTATGTCTGCAATCCACTTTGAGTAAAGTTTGTGTGTGATGCAAGGCATGGATCCAACTTCACTTTTTGCATGGATCATCAATTGTTCCAGAAAAGCTAGAAAGACAACCCTTTTTCCATCAAATTGCTTTTGCAACTTTCTCAAAAAATCAATTGACATACACATGAGTCTATTTCTGGTTTCTCTATTCCATTCTATTGCCCAATTTGTCAGCCTTTATACCAGTCAGACATTGTCTTGCTTACTGTAGCTTATAGCAAATCCTGAAATCAGGTGGTGGACGTCCTCCAAATTCGTTCTTCTATTTCTAAGATATTTGACTATCCTAAGTACTTTGCATCTGCACGTGATTGTCAATTTCCACAAAAAGAGGGCCTGCTAGGGTTTTGATTGATATTGCAATGAATCCACATGTAAATCTGGAAAGAACTGACACCTTGACAATAATGAATCTCTCCATCGGTTACCCGGGTAAATCTCTCCATTTCATCAGCTCTATTCTAATTACCCTTACCAAAGTTTTGCAATTTTCAGTGTATAAATCTTGCACATCTTTTTGTCAGATTTCTCCCCAAATATTTTATATTTTTATGATATTGCAAATGGTATTTTTTCCATTTTAATTTCTGATTGTTGCCAGTGTATAAAGACACATTTGATTTTTGTATGTGGATCTTATATTCTGCAACTTTGCTAAATTCACTTATTAGTTCTAGTAGCTGTTTCATAGATTCTACGGGATTTTCTACACAGATAAGTGTATTCTCTTAAAATTAAGACAGTTTTCCTCCCTTCTGAATCTGGATATGTTCCGCTAGTTTTCTTGCACAAAGTACTGCTTAGCTGGACCCTCCAATACAGTGTTGAATACAAGTGAAGAATGGTTCTCTTTCCCTGGTCCTGATCTCTCAGGGGGTATTCGATCTTTCACTGCCAAGTATGATGGTCTCTGCAGGTGTTTCTTCTCTAAGAGCCCATCTGGGCCCGGAGTCTTGTTTGTGGGAGGACTTTACTGCATATTCAGTTTATTTAATATGTATAAGACTACTCAGGGCTTCTATTTTCTCTTGACTGAGTTTTGGCAATTTCTGTCTTTCAAGGAATATGTCCATTTTAGCTAAGTTTTTTAAATTTCTTGGCATAAAATTTATTCAAACTGTTCTCTTATTAAAATTTAAATAATTGTAGAATTTGCAGTGATTCCATTTCTCTCATTTCTGATGTTGGCAATTTATGTTTTCTCTCTTTT